TTTGAATCGGTATGTGGTTATTACATACTACTGATTGATTATGAGATGAGTAGTTGTGCACTACTAATATTGACCTGTAGTCCTTCCTTACTGTCCAGATCATAGTGATCTAATCACCAGATGGCCGTTTCGCTCGTTTTCGGTAGACCTTATCAACAGTATGACCCGATATGACTCAACATAGAGAGATTAACCAGTTCAAACCTTTTGAAGGATAAGGGGGGGGGGGGTAGAATTTCACCTCGAACTGTGTAAATTGCGAACTCGATTTGTGGTACTACGAGTTCGCCCAAGTAGCTAGGTAACAGTCAGGTGGTTTGAACGGTTTTGTCTGTCTATATTGGATCAACTCTAAACGAATGGAACAGCCGTCCGGTGTTCAGATCACTTCGATTTGTCTGGCTGGGAAGCACCACCACTGCTTAATGTAAGTGGCAGGCAACTACTCATTTCAGTGAATCAGTAGTACGTAGTCCTATACATTTACTCTCAGTTTCTTGATTACCATTTGTAGTATCAAGTAGATCACATAATGTGTTCTGAATAAATTCTATTTCTAAAAGAAACTGTGATGTAAATCATAAACTGTGAATTCGTTTGTAATTTAATTATTCCTATAATGAAAATTATAGAACACTATTTAAGCAAATACGTATTTTCGGTAAATCCTCATCAGGCCTTAATATTCACATAATGAAATATTAGTAGACAGCCATTTGAATTAATGTGGTTCATAAAATATAGGATCAGAGTTCAAGGATGTGGATTAACTGATAGCAATCGAGGTGATAATAATAATAATAATAAAAAGAATAAACTGATTCACATGTTTATATAATCTAGGCAATGGTGAGTGTATAGGTAGAATGTGTATACTAGTAGGGATAGAGAGGCAAAATAACTATTGTCATACAACGGCTTTTTGTTTTGTTTTACTCCTTCACGTTCTGGGTGGAACATAGGGCTCCAAGCTAGAGGCTTGAAGTTTCGGTAGCAGTGGTGTTTATTTTTTACGGGATGGAGTTGCTAGCTTCATGCCCAACATTCCCTCTTTACCAGCCTTATTACTGGTTTTAGCGTCGGCCGGGGATCAAACGCCGGACCACATGGGTGGTCGGCGAGCATTCTACCACTATGCCACCGACGCAGAAAATAGCGTCCCCTGCCGACACACACCCGATATCAATGGTCGGCCTGCAAAATTTGGGCTACCGATATCCATGCTGAAAATCCCATACTTGTACTGAAAATAGGGTGTGGAATCAAGCTGTAATCAAAAATAAATATAATAATGGTCCTCTAAACCAATGTTAGCTCATGATGAAATCCTCCAACCAACCAATATAATAATAATTTGTGACACCCAGATAAAAATGTACAACTTCAGCACTGCATGATATTGATAATACAGTTAGCAGTACTAATAAAAATAAAATAATAAGATAGTAATTACAGTTATCCAGTGTTACCGAGATAGATAACTATCCTAGGTTTGAGGGTGAAGGCCAAGGGAGTGGGGGAGGTTGAATAAACCTTTTCTGAATATAGAGATTGGGTTGGAAAATTTGAATAATAATAATAATAATCTGCTTTATTCCAAAAACAGTACTTAAGGTACACCATTGAATTCTAAGCACTTGTCACAATATTGCATCTAATTTACTCAGAATATAAATAAAAGTAACCACAGGAATTTGTGGAAATTTTAGCATGTTATAGAGTATTGAATGCAGTGATCTCTTGACATGTAGGATGGTGAAGGAAAAAACAAGAAATAAAAATTATTGCAGAGCTTTAATGATATTTACACTTATGAGGAAGTAAACACAAAATGTGAGAGGATTATAAATATAAGAAGAAGAATAACAGTAAAGTTTGGTGTCATAGGGGTGAAGAAAATTGTTTATTTACTACTAGTGGAAAGAAGGTTAGTTAGCTCGTGCCCGACACTGTTTTCATCACAAAACAATCCGTGCCAAATATGTTATCGTGTAATTTTCATACTTAAACGTGTGCGCATAAAGTATTTTAAAATGACTTCTTGTTTTACCTGAGGAGACATAAGGTGAAAGCTACGGGTAAAGTGGATGCTTGCAGTCTGACAAAATCCCTTTAGCAAATTTGATGCATGAAATCAAGTGCCTATCATCAATGACGATGTCAACGATAGGGCCCAATGGGATACCACGCGCCTTACTGGCAGTCTTCAGAGTTTTACGAAGTATGACATGGTCTTTTTGAAGCAACCCAAAGGAGAATAATGGTGAACAGTAAAGAACTGCCTCAGCTATGCTTAGCAACCGAAGATGTACCAACCTAGGGAATTCAGGTGGTACCTTGTATAGAATTGTAAAAGCTGCCTTTTTTTATCAATCTTATACTTTGTATCCACTAGGTGTGTCGGTACAGAACTTCTGATTGACATTACGACTCCTTTACCTAACTACGTTGGACAGTGATCCAGACTGCCGAGTTCTTCTACCTGTGTAACTGTCTCCACATGAACAATTAAATTTATAAATGCACATTGAAGTGACCATTGTTTGTAGATTGCGATTTTAAAGTATTTGAATTGTTAATATTTTAGTATATTTTAAAAATTACTGTTTTTTATTATGTTATCTACAGGCTACATGTGTCCTTAATTTAAACATTATTCGAGGAATATTCCAATCAGCGAATTTCAACTGTCATACTATTAAATATGTGGAAAAGGCATTGATCATTGCTTTAGATGGTTTAGGATGTAAGCATCTCTCAGTAAGTTGGTTAGTTAGTTTTCTGTTGTTTCCTTATTGTGTACACATTCTGTTTGATGTCATTAGATCTGTCTGTCTGTCTGATCTCACAGATTTACAACGCCATTGTGTGATGTAATGTCATAATATGGTGTCAAATAAAACTCTTCGATAAGGGAATTAATTTTGTTCATCTTGTTGAATGCACTTTACAATGTCTTGATGCTGAATTCTTTTCATTCCTTGTCGTCCTAGTGGGATTTTGGACTTTAGGCTTGAGGTGTGGAAATTTCGGTAGTGGCGTCTTTTTTGTCGGATCGATCACTACACCTTCCGAAGTCTGGACAGCCAAGTGGTATCGCTAGCCGTCTTACATGATAGGGGTGTGGCTCATCGCCAATTGTATAGAATTTCAAGTGGTTGTTTTGGACAGCACTTGACACGTCTTTCTCAGTTGATCAATTTGTTATAACTGAGCTGAACTGAATAGACTCTTCGTCGCTACTTTGTTATGTTTGAGTCTGTTAATTACTATAACGGTAATGAACTCGACTAGTACGCTAATACGTCGACTTGTCCATTGTACCTTCCGATTCACTGAGCCACCTAGATGTCAAAAGACAAAGACTGGCCTGTGAATGTAAGATACTGTATATTGATTAGGAAACAACACACCACACCATATTTATACATTTTCTTTACCGTGATAAAGTCGGCTCACAGCCGTGAGAATGGGCTGTTCCTATTGGCTGAAAATGTCTATTCTGAATGGTTGGCGATCTGAGAAAGATCAAGATGAGACAAAAGACGATGAATTGATCACACACTAATTCACAATATGCGTCAGAAGTGATAGATCCATAGAGTAACTTCATGAGGAGATAAATCACAAGATTCGTGAGAAAGAACGATATACTATTTTATACTGGGTCCGATCAAAATTTGATCTAAAATAATGTATCTGTTAATTGCCAATTCGTCTGAATGAGTCCCAAGCTTTTAAAAATTTACGGGGATTTTCGGTGTTTCTACTGTTTGAAATCTCTACATGTTCCCAGTCAAATCAGTCTCCATATTTGTCTACACATAGATTGATATGAAAGCAAACATGTCGTGTCTCTCGCGCAATCGAACGAGACACCTGCTTTAACCAATATAGTGGTTATCACAGTTCATACAATTTATTTTGCATTTGGTGTCGATCTCATCTTCTTTTACTGTTGGGTCTTTTGGTTTACATAGTACTTGAAGGAATTGACTGTGTTAGTTTGTGTGCCATAATTACTTCGAATGATTTTAGTATTCTACCTGTTATTTCAGTAACACTCTTTATATATGCCGGGATGGGGGGGTAGGGTTAATTTCCTCGTAGTTGCTGAGGTTGACCATTTTGCTAGTAGTTTGTTTGCACTTTAGACATTCTTTGATTGGTAAACTGTTGTGTATTGTAATAAAACTGCTATATGTATTAGAGTAGAGCCAGAGGTGAGGATCTAATTGAAAAGTAAATATTTCTTCGCTGAATATTTCTGTTTTCTAAATGTCTAAATTGGGATTTTTTCTTTATTGAAATTTACCGCGTTTCACTTTCTCTTGACAACAGTTAGTAAATGTTTCTCTTTTACACTAGAATGTGTTTTAATTGTTTTAAATGTTTCTGTATTGATTTTGTGTATACTTGGGTTCTTAGATCTCCTGCTTTTGCTCTCTTGATTACGATATCTAAAAAAGGAGGGCTTTTGTTATCTGTTTCATCTTCCCTTGTGATTTTGCAACATCTTCTTTGAGAATCATAAATTCTTCCTCTAATTTGTCCGTATAGCATATTCTCCTGACTGTACAGAACAGAGTTTTTACTAGTACTCGTTAATAGCCATTTGGACAAAAAGTATTAAAATGTAAGTATTGTCCATTCCATACTGGCTTTCTGTAAATTAACCTCTAGAAACTACCATCTTCCAGGCGTTGCTTGGCAGTGTCAAGGAAATGAAACTTCTCACCACTTTCATGTCCGATTGTAGATCCAATATTTTTATGCACGTTGATGAGCAATCTTCTGTTCAAAATGATTGCAAGATGATGTCACAGTATATGCTACTTACAATTCTTAGTTAGTAGTACACTCATCATACTATGAGTTCATAATTTCTTTATATATTACCTAGCAGCTGTCTTTTTTATACTTATAAGATTCATTTTCTTATTGGTTGTTAGCTTAACTTGTGTGAATTAACTTTTTTTCTACAGATTCGAAATGCATCTATGCTTTTCTTCAGTACTATAATTCAACGTATTTTTGGTGTGACACGATCGAAAGCAATTAAAAGTCGTAAAAATTGGTATGTGTTGTCCTATGTTATGCTTAATTTTCCTGCTATAAATTGGTCTACTTTACCTTATTGATAGCTGCTTCCTTGATGCAAGAAACGCGTCAGATGAGCTACACTAACTAGAATTGATGTTTCTTCAGGTTCTACCAAGCTGGATAGGTTGTTTAGATAGCAGTTAGACTAAAAGTGTAGTTACCGTCGTAGTGTAAGAGTTGTTTACACTATATTGGGGTCTGTAAGCCAAGTTGTACTGCTGGTGAATAGGGAAGTAATCGCAGTAAAGTTTTTCCATTATATGACAATCATGCCACCTATGTTGTCTCTTCTCTCTGAGGAGGAGTGGAGTTAGAAACGGTCGTTCCAGAAAGTTGTACATTTCAGCTTACCTTGCGGCAGTCTGTAGGCGCTGGTTGGATCTTTATACGGACACAACTCCAGCAACCACTTCAGGCAACCGGTTTATGACTGGCCTCCTGGACTGTATGGTCAATCAATACTAGTGCTCTTTCTGTTTTATGGACTCTTAGAAGAAACTATCTTCCACGGTGTGAGCAGTGGAGAATTAATAACCGCGCACACACTTTTGTTAACATACAGAGAAGGTACACTTGTACGTGTACATTCTATGTGTAAATTTTGTTAATTTTGAAGGCCGGAAGATGTGTGTGTGTGACGTATACCTACGTGCAGGAGGTCTACATCGAGTTAAGAATAGTAACTCTTCAATATAAGGTGAAACACTCATTGTTCAATAAATGTGAGCCTTCTGTAGATGATCGTAGAATATCTCACGGAAACAAATGTAAATTTATGCCTGCCAAATCAATTTTCTGTATTCCCATTTTGATCGAGATCTCATCATCTATGACAATTCAATATATATATATATATATATATATGTGCGTGTGTGTGATTCGATTTGCCAAAAACGCATAAATCACTGAAGGAGTTCCAGTCATTACTTCACTCTTTAACCTCAGACTGCACGGGGAGCGGGGGAGTTGTGACAGATCAATCATGTAGCATCACCTTACATTCGGCAAGGGTGGGGCACATACCAAACACACTTCACTAAACTCTGTATCATCTGCCTACTCCCATGTCGTTCACTTCTCTTTTCCAATCACCGGTGAGTTCCTTAGAAGGCCTAGCCAAACAGAGTCACCTTCATAGGTTCCAGTTTTTAACTGTTTAGCAGTGCTCACTTACCACCCCACCACCAAATATTGAACCTGGGACCTTCAGGTTACAAGGCGAAAAGCTCGTTAACTATTCAGCCGCTCTTGGTGTGGAATCCAGTGATCTCTAACTGATTTTGGCTTGTGATGAAATCTACATTTAAATTAATTCAAATCTCTACAAACATCTGTTATCGAAATAATTCCTAGACATTTATTATGACTTAAACTGTCTATAAAGGTTTTGGTGTGATCTCTGGTAGGGTCGTGTGTGTGTGTGTTTGTTTGTGTGTGAACTGGTCTAAAGAGTCCCAGATTACAAACAAAAAACACATATTCAGTGCTACATGGTTTTCGATGATTCTATCCGTTATGAAAACTACCTTGAGAGATGTGCACGATAATAATCTGAGTTATTCAATCATTTTTGGGCGTGTGTAGTAAACACTAACGTTGAAACTACTAAAATAAAAGTAAGATATAGATCATTTTCGACGTAAAAATAATACCCTGATCTGTTATTATTAGTATTGTTTCCTTTAGTGCCTAGAGGAAAATAGGGCTACAGCCTCATGTTTCCATTGCGTTCGGTTCTCTGTCATCGTTTTCACCTGCCTCCACGTTTGCCCAAATGCTTTCATCTCCCTTTCGCATGGCCTCCTCCGTGTCATCCTCACACTAACAACCAACTTGCTACTTCCCGTTCGGGTTCCACTCGAGCGATGGCCTGGCGTGTGATGTCACTTGATAGCTTCCTCAGAGTATGGCCAATCCACCTCCATTTCTTCCTGCATATTTGTTGCACAATCGGTTCCTACTTGGTCAGTTCGCTCATCGCCAGAGATCCCTGTTGCTGATCTTTTCTGCCCAGCCATCTGATCATGAGCGGAGTATTGAGCAAAGGCAGCTATTGATGAAAGTGTATAGTTTGTTCGATGTGCCCTTCGTGACGCTCCAAGTCTCTGATCCGTATAGTAGCACTGATTTCACATTGGAGTTGAAAATCCGGATCTAATTTTTCATGCTGAGTGCTGTTGATCTCCTACATACACACTTTAGAGTAATGGAAGCTTGTCTTGCTTTTCCGATTCTTGCTTTGATATCCTCGTCACTTCCATCCGCCTGTAGTTGAAACGATGCTTCCCAGGTCGTTAGGTAAAGGAGGTTACTTCTTTCAGATTTTTGTCTGTTGTTGTTGCAGTTGATCACGAATCTTCATCACCTCTATTTCTCTATGTTCACCTGAAGTCCTATCTTTGATGCTTCTTTTGCCAACTTGTTACTTTTCGCTTGCATATCTTCCAGTTTGTGGAAGACCAGACATATATCATCATTGGCAAAGTCCAGATCCTCCAAGTTTTTTGTGAGGGTCCATTTTATGCCTGTTTCGTCGCTGCCCGCTGTCTGTCACATTATCCAGTCTACCGCAGACAGAAAAATCATTGGAGATAGCAGGCAACCTTGTCTTACTCCCGTCTTCACTTCGAAGGATTCCATGAGTTTCCCGTTGCTGATTAACTTGGCATGCAGCATTGTCGTGCAGCTGTTGGATGTCGCTGATCTATGGGACGTTTTATTGTTTACTCAATCAAATGAATATATGTTTTGTCTGTTTGATCGTATCACTTTTATTTCGATTATATTTTTCTATATTTGCTTGACTTCTTCTTATGGATTTCTACGTTCTTTGTGTCTTTTACATATACATACACAGCTTATCAACGCCGACATTCTTTAAACATTATCCAAAATTTCAACAATATTTGATTGATGCACTCACTTGGTATTCAAACAATACAAGGTAAGAAATCGTTAGTATTTTGATTCCTTATTATTTTACTTTCACTAAAATGTATTCTTTTATTGTGAAGATAAATTCCTTGATCTCCTCAACGAAAGAAAAAGGCGTGTGTACTGCTCAACAGTTTGCTGCGTACTCCTTTGTGGCTGTGAGACATGGCCATTGAAAGTGGAAGACGTGAAAAGACTGGCTATCTTTGATCGTAGGTGCGTGTCTCCTGTCTTCCGTTTAAAGATGGTATAATAAGGTGATCAATATTCAGGTTAGCCAACGGTCGAGTGCTAGATAAGGAGGGGAAATCAATCGACGAGGCTGTGAAGCTACATCGACTGAGATGATTAGGATATATGTTACACATGCCTAGCCTAGCCACCGCCTTCTTCGACGGGCAATGTTAGCTACTGACATAGGATGGATCAGATTGGAAAAGAGCTAGAGATGGTTGTGGTCAACGAAAACATGGCTATATCAGTTAGTTTAAGCCAGCCGGCCAGCCACTTAGGGAGTTGTAGACTGGTGTCTGGTTGGGGTCCTCGGGATGGTAATAACCAATGGCAACTGGAGACAATTGGTGATTATCATGAAAAATCCCCATTTGAACATTAATAGAGAGAAGACCAATAGTTCAGCGAAGAGTCTCTTTTCGATGAATTCATTTCCACAGCTGTACAGTCGCAAATATATATGGTTATTTTGTATCTGCGTGTAAATTAAATTTGTCAAGCGAAGATACAATTGGTTGGGATTGTTGTAACTTAGGCGGTGAAATCGGTAGGTTTTCGGTGGAGTTACGCATTTCAAAAAGGGCGTTCAGAGGAATTGGCTGTTGATACAAAGTGGTAGTAAAAAGAAGTGATGAGTTATCACAAATGATTGTTAAAGAATAGTTACGTGATAACGTAATAACTTCGCGCTACAAAGATGGAGTGTGGCAACTCGAACTGCTACACATCTATGCAAAGTTCTGTGTTGAAACCAGTCAGTCAGTCAAATAAAGGAATCCCTCGACAGATTTTTCGAAGTCCATATGCAGGATTGGAAAAAAAGCATGATAGACTTTAATTAGTTGGAAATCTGCTGCACTAAGCCTAAAAAACAAGATTCCGATTTTCAGAACTAATATTATGAAGTCGGTGAATGCTTTTCTGTATAGTTCAGAGACTTGTGCAGTGACTCATGAAAAGCGTTTTCAATAGCTTACAGCAGACTTACATCAACAGGTACTGGCCAGAAAGAATTGACAACAAGGAACTCACACATAATAAAGAACGAATCAACCAAGAACCTAATGCTTGACAAATACGCAGAAGGAAATGGAGTTCCATTAGACACATGCTGAATAGACTGTTGAGTGACATGACGTGCTATTCCGTCCATCGAGTGAAACCCGAATGCGAAACGACGAGTTTGTTCCGTGTCCAAAGGTAACATAGAGGAGATCATGTAAGGAGAACATGACAGCTCATAGACAGTCGTGTAATCAGCTAAAAAGGATTGCATAGAACAGAGTGAAATGGAGATGTCCTATTGAAACGCTGTGCTCGAATTGGAATCCAAGGAAATAATAATGATAATTTGCATTTGGTCTTCACAGATAAGAGTAAAGTTAACATTTATGTACAATTGTTGTAGGCGTGAATACGTTTATTGTAGTGCTGAGGTTGATTGGTTAGTTGATTGGTTTCAACTACTCATATCTCTTTTTAAAGGGTAATAATGTCGAGTGTTTAATGCAGTCCAAATGGAAAGTAACTACGCTCCTCAGAATTAATTAGGGATTTATATCGCTGGTACCTACATTCACAGGGATGTTGCAGTTCAGTCATTTGTTAGTTCTTTGGTGGGTGATGATAATAATGATACACCCGATTTATTTTTTATGTGTGTGTGTGTGTGTTACTGATTCTAATTGTCAGTTTGTACTTAAGCATTTTTCAAGCATATCGATGCAGTGATACACCATGTGTTAATATGAAGCGGGTATGTCACTTTTAGACTTCAGCAGGGTTAACAGACCTTCCTACATCATCCTGCCCGACTGATAGCTCATGCATATCGCAATTATCCAACAAGCTACACTGACTGGAACTATTGATTCTACAGGTTCCAACATGCCAGAAAAAGTTTTTGAATAGCTGTTAGACTAAAAGTAGGTGGCATCCATAGCTTAAGTTGTTTGCACTATTTTTAGGGGTATGAGGCTGAAGTCGTACTTCTAGTGAATGGGAGTGTGACAACAGTAAGGTGATTCTCTCTGTTGACCAGCATGTAAGCTATGCTACCTCTCTACTGTGGAGAGAGGGTATATTAGAAAAGGTCGGTCGCGAAAATTGTGCATTCTGACTTACCTTGAGGTGGTCCGTAGCTGGTGGTATGATCTTTGTACGGATACAGTCGTGAAAACCACTTCAAACAGGTTGTGTTTAAGATAATTCTATGGTATGGGGAGCTGGAAAGAAATAACTTCCCTCATACTTCCATAATCTCATGAAAATTTTCTGAGCATTACTCACCTTCACTTCCATCGTAAAATAATCTTGTTACTCTTGCTAGTTGAGGTTTTTGAGATGAATTCTGACTGGCGTTTTGCGTATTTTGTGTTCCAGTAACTACTACAGTCAATGGATAACTATGTCTTTTCAAGGGATTCCTATCTTCCTCTAACTGATACCTTGGGTTGTATATTGTACAATATAACCTTGTCTGCATGATTTTTTATTCTTAGATTATCGTCACGGTGGTGATAAGTGTTACGAATTAAATTCTGCTTTCAGTCGGCGATAATTGATTCCTGTATGTATCACATGTTGATAATTTCGATTGTGCTGTTTTTTGTGAGGTTAGACGGCATTTGGATTAGACAGATCCTTGTATGAATTGGTGTCACAACTGTGTGACTTTTGTTCATTCGCATTATTTCTCTCCTACAGTATTTGTCATTGGTTACATTGCTTACCTGTTGTGTTTTCTTCCAAAATCATTTTCACAGTGTTCTTCCACAAGTATGCCGTTTCAAATTGTACAGTCTGCTTTATTTGATGACACATCTTCTGCCTCCTTCACAAGTGACAGATGTTGATAAAGTTTTATACAAACTGCTTATTCGGTGAGTAATGAGAAAGTACCTTTTTCACCTTTTTATTCATTCGTTTGCGTTCCGTGTGGAAAATACTACTACAGACTGTAAACTTTGAATTTTTAGTAGCGGTAGTTTATTTTCATGGGGTATGGTTGCCAACCTCATTCACAACTTTCTTGTCTTGAACTGAGTTTACTACCGGCCAGGGAAGGTTTAGGAGTGCGTTGGCTTGGGCGTGGAACTCTTGATCACGTGCATGCGTGATTGGAGGGTATTCCACCTACTGCTAAACCATCGATGCATTTGTTTTCTTAGCAAGACCATGAATACATTTCAGCTTTGATGATGTGTCATTGATGTACAACAATTGTGTGTAGTTTCTCATGTGCGTCGGTGTCACAGCGGTTAGGACTCTCGACGACCATGTACATGGTCCGGGGTTCGATCCCTTGCCGACGCACACCTGATATCAATGGTCGGCCTGCAAAATTTGGGCTACCGATATCACACGCTGAAAATTCCATACTTGTACCAAAAATGCGGTGTGGAATCAAGCCGTAATCAAAAAATAATGATATATGTTCACTGTAGTATTCTGTCTGACGCACAGGATTCCGGACCTCTGTTGGTTGGATTGGTAGTTAATTGGTTTCACATAAAGTCATAAACAGCTACACCACTAACTTTCTAGGACGAAACAGATGTCTAGACCATCTGAGTATCTTTATATTCTTTACTATCTGGTGTCAGGAATTACATGGAGTGATCGTCAGCACCAAATGTGAATTAGGAAACAGTGAAATATAGATTTCGTTAGAGAATCTGAAGGGAACGTTGAAAGTGCATGTGCGTTACAGCTCCTTTAAATATAATGTATCTATATGCTGATATCATTGCTATTGGATTGAATGAAGTCACATAAGGAAACGCATAGTTTCTGCTTTTTTTTCTCCTTCTTGCCCTGAAAAATATAATAATAATAATCTACTTTATTCCAAAAACAGTACTTATAATACAGAATGGAATTCTCAGCATTTGTCACAATATTGCATCTGATTTACTCAATATATAAATAAAATTAAAAATTAAAACAAAATTAACCGGAGGAATTTGTCCACATTTACGATATAAAGTCACAAATATTCGAAGCACGAATTGAGAATATTAAATATAATAATTATTATTATTATCATAATAACAGTGAATTTGTTCCAGACAGCACTGTCGATTCAGTTTGGAAATTTTTGCATGTTATAGATTATTGAATCTAATGTTCTCTTGATATAGTATAGTGAGGAGAAATACAAAATGAACAGTTATAACACAGCTTAAATGATGTTCACACTTATGAAAAAAAAAATAAACACAAACAAAAAATTGAGAGTATTTTAAATATAAGAAATACAATAACAATAAAGTTTGATGCTTTAAGGGTGGAGGAAATGGTTTATTTAATAGTGACATTATTTTAATCACATAAAGTACGTGCTAAGTATGGTATAGTGGAATTTTTATACTTAGACGTACATGCATAAATTCTTCTGAAAAGACTTCTTGTTTTACCTGAGGAGACACAAGATTGGAGCCGCGAGTAGAGTGGGTGGTCACAGTCTGACAAAATTCCTTTAGCGGATTTGTTGCATGACATCAAGTGCCTATCAGTGACACTGTCAACGTAATGGCCCAATGGGATACCACTCGCCATAGTGACACTCTCCATAGTTCTACGAAGTATGACACAGTCTTTTTTAAGCATTCCAGGAAAGAATAAGCAAGGGTGAACAGTGAAGAAGAAGAATAGGTAAAATACACGAGTTGACAAACTGTAAGAGGAGTGGTTGAGTTATGCCTGAGTGCCTTAACTTCCTAATGTAAAAAGTCAGACAAAATATTCTTTTAGAAATCACTAAGACATGGGAAAATCAGGATAGGTCAGAAGAGAGAATTAATTCAAGATAATTAACTTCAGACTTGGCTTCTATATCAGTATCATCAATTTTGCAAGGGTCATAGAAACTAACGGCTTCATTTAAATTTCGTTTACATCGGAAACTGAAATTAACAGTCTGACATTTGGAAGGATTAAGTTTAAGGCCATTAGACGAATACCATTTGCTAATGCCTGATAGAAAGTTGTTTGTCTTAGTACAGTCAAGCTGGGAGTTAACAGACATTGAAATAGTTAGATAATCGGCATACTTAACAAAGTTCATTTCATCATCAGAGTGAGGCAATTCATGCAAGCAGAAAGAAAACAGAAAAGGAGAAGGGACAGCGCCTTGAGTGACACCAATTCAAATGTAAATTATGGTACTTGGACGCAAGTTATTTCATGTAACGCCAGAAATAAATGAGCTGAACACAGCTGACGATGTAGACAATTTCAAATCAACTGTTTTAACTTTTCTCCTCGATTACGCTAACAAAAATCTTTTGTCCATAGAACATCGAAATTAGTCAGAAGAAATCAGACTGGAAACTTGATCATGACACGCTCTAATAATTTTTCGAGAGGAATTGTTCTATTAAGCAAGTCAAACTATCTAAATAAACCTTCACTGACTCCATCTAATGGTAATGAATTCCTAGAAGTAATCGTCTCAGAAAGATCCTACTGAGTAGATGGAGCTAGAACTGGGAAATATATTAAAGTAAATGAAAGAAGAATCATTTATTAGTATGGAACTGTGTGAACATCATCGTCCATTTAGTTCTACATTTCCGCATATGTACGGCTTACTTGAGGTACATAAATAAGATGTTTCACTCCACCCAATACTAAATATGATAAATTCTCCACTTCACTTGATCGTGAATTAGTTGGTAGAGATTCTTGACCAGGTGAAGAAAAAACTGTCCGGATAATACCTCTAGGAAATATTTGATTTTGTCGGTTCAATGTAGAGAAGTATTTGTTTCCTTAGATGTTTCTCTTTCTCTTCACCAATATTCCCCGGACAGACTTCATATATTTTTTATATGACTTTATTCAGTCTAGTAGCATTGATATCGGCATACCGATTTTGTTATCACTTAAAGAACTTGTTACTCTGATGAACTTTCAACGTTTACTTCAAACAGTGAAATCTTTTGTGAGGTATCATCACTCCATTTCAAGAAGTCATTGTTGATGGATAATGTACGCTTTAGTTGTGAATATATTAGAAAAAACGCCATCGTAACCTTCAGTTAGAGACCTCTGAGACTGCAGCCCTTGGTGACGCAGGTTAGAATCTCAGAAGCGACATGAGTTCCTTCAAGGTTGCGGATACGCCTTACTCATACGCCTTAGCACCAAACCTGGGTCCAAGGCTTCCTACTGATTGCCTCCAACCATCTCATATGAATAATTGAAAGTGCACCATAATAACGAGCCACTTAGTGGTACGGTGGTCACATTGTAAACTTGACTGATAGAATTCAGTCTGCACCGAAAAAAGGACTAGATGCATTGCAACAGTAACTAACTAGTGTCCAATCAAAGTAATGACTGGCTGTTAATGTATGTTGTTTAACTGGATTTTATTTCTTGGATGTATATATTTGTTGATTTTTTTATTTTCCCCGTTCTACCAGTTGTTCTTATTATCCTGACATTCGTATACGTAAAGTGGCATCATCCGCATTGACGTCAATTATCCATCCAAGTTGTATAATGGAGACACTGGATCATTTGTTGTATCTTATGGATGAATGGAGAAGTAAAGATTCATTATCACCATCAACAAGAAAAACTGATCGATCGAATATACTTCATAGTCTACTATTGCAGGTAATTTGGTGTATTTATTATTTTCGCGGTCTGTCTGTCTTCACTTTAACCGTCGTTAATATTGATCCGAAATCATAAAATGATTTCAGTTAGATAGCCATCAAAAACCAGGGAGTAGTAAGGACTCCCAAGGAACACCGAACCCAGTACCTTCTGGTCACGAGTCGAGTCCGTTGATTATTCAACCACTGGGACAAAATCCAATGTCCAACTCGCAAACTCTAACTTCTGTCAATTCGTGGTACATAGCACGACTGCCAGCTGAAATCATCGACGAGTATTTGTACTGACATCCGACATGGTGTGACGCCAGTGATCATGACTTCTCACTGAACATCAGGCAACATCATCTTGTGGTCACTAGTGAGCACTAGACTAAATTTCAAGTTTTGCTTTGTCAAAGATCAGATCGATTTCAGTTATTGATCACGATATTTGCAAATCAACATTTTGAAAAGTGTATTTCAGAAAACAATCTTATCCGGTCCAGTAATCATTGACAAATCGAATGTAGAAGATCTAAAATAGTCAGTCAAATCCCTACAAACCAACACTTGGATATCAATGAGATGCTCACTAGCGACTCGCCCTATTCAGGTTGGTAGTTACCTGGGGTTCTAGTGAGAAGTCATGACCAGTAGGGTGCAGCAGGTCGGGTGTGAGGACAAATACTCCCCGAAGACATTGGCTAGCGGTTACGCTATGTCGTGAATTGGCAGAAGTTAGAATTCATGGGCTGGTCATTGGATCGGACTCCAGTGGCTTAATGGTCTACCAGCTCGCTAGTCTTGTAACCAGAAGGTCCTGGGTTCGGACAGTGGCGGTGGGTGAGTACTGCCGAAGAGTCGCAGACTGGGATGAAACAGCTGTACATTACTCCCAGGTTTTCCAATGGTTCTCTAACCAATGTCAGCCCATGACGAAAATCCTGTAACCAATCAATCAAATCCCTACAAACCAACACTTAAATATTAGTATGTTAGAAGACTTGGTCAGTGGTCATGAAGACGATACTTGACTGATATACTGTGTAGAATGCGGTGGAAGGGAGCTATTTACCCTCTTACATACTTCGATTATGAGTTCACACTTTCCTTCATGTCTCACAACGATAATTATTCACTTTATCATCTAGTATTTTGGCTGTTTGTTCACTTATAAATAACTTCTGTACAATAATCCTACAGTAATGTGTGTTCTGGTTGCCTCAGTCAATGAGGCATCATTATACACAACTTAATTAGATGATAGGAAAATTAAAGAAAGACCGTTGTAGAAAAGAAAATTTTCTTTTGGACGAAGTCATTGACTAAGCCGTATGTTCATGTATGTAATTGGTGAACGGGTGAGAAAGTTCCAGAACTTTTCTTGGTCGAGTTTAAAATTAACAAGATTAGAAGTAGAGATTAACATGTAAAAATATAACAGTGTGGATAAAAAAGTTCGGATAAAAATACAATAGTGCAAATAGGGATTAAAAATACGTAAGAATAACACAAATAAACAGGAAGTTTGGATAAGAAAGGTGTAATAGGATAATCACTATTAAGAGGATTGACTGTTAATATGGCCATGATAAAGACACTGGTTAGACGTATTTCTTTTGGATTGCTAGTGCCTTAGCTACGCCTTTAATGCCTTAATCTCACTCCCTTTGAGAGGTTTGAGAGGACTTCGAGGGACTTTTCGAATGCAGTTGAATGCACTGAGTTCTCCAGGTGCTCTGTTACCGAGCCAAATACACACACACGTTCTCCCTTTGCTAATCAGGTAGCCATTTTGGACAGGGTTCCTGAGCGCGTTTTACAAGTGGATGCATAGTACGCCCAATGTACTCGGCCTCATAAGGCCAGGTGAATCAGTATGTGCATGTTGAAGTGGCTCAATCCAACAGCTTGTGTTTCACGTGCTAGCTAGATAGTTTTTTGTAAGAAAATGTCACTTATAGGTTGGTGGCGAAATATTTTGTAGTGACCTGGACCCTTTCAGTAGCCTTCTTTGATTTTAGGCTCTTGTTTATAAGTCTGGATGGGAAACCATTTTCCATCGAGATTCCTCGTAGATTTTGCAATTCTTTGTCAATAGATTCCTCAGAACATATTTTCATGATCTTTGATGAAAGAAAGAGAAGGTTTCTCTTTCAGCTCAGATGGGCACAACTTTGAAAATTGCTAAACTATCCGTTCCATGTAGGCTCATAAATTATTGGTGTGTGTTTAAATGTTGCGTAATGCAAACATGCAATACTACCCTGAAAGCAATTAATGACTTGGCATATGAAGTGTGTGTGTGTATGTGTGTGCGTTATGTGTTTCGTTTACAAGATCGAGTTTTTGCAAACCTATTGTATCAACTAAGAGTATATAAGACGGAGTGGATGAAGGTGAGAGCATTCACTATTCACTTCGCTGTATGCCTTAGGAGAAAATGTTGATAATTCATTAATAGTACCTATATTATCGTCTGCCATATTCGTACTTACTTGGATGCAAACACCAGATAAACTAAACTGGTGCAGGGTTCAGGGTGATGAAGAATGCTCTGACCCCAGGTAAAAACTCACCATTGCACCTCGGTGGGTTCAGACTTGCGACGGACCCTACTCGGGTGCGCTCGGGCGTGTAGTTTTTGTCAGTGGGGAGGCCTCATGGTCCTCCCCTTAAGTGTGTCGGTGGCACAGCGGTTATGACTCTCGCCGATCACGCACATGGTCCGGGGTTCGATCCCCTGCCGACGCACACCTGATATCTATGGTTGGCCTGCAAAATTTGGGCTACTGATATCACATGCTGAAAATTCCACACCTGTACCAAAAAATACGGTGTGGAATCAAGCTGTAATCAAAAATAAACAAATAAACAAGACAGAGTAAGAACAACAGATCGATCTTCGAAAATACGAGTTATATTTGTAGAATCGCTACTGCACAAGTAGGTCAGTAGCTGCTAACTTGACGTAGTCGTCCGATTTGCATATCACACTGGCTGAAACTAATGTTTTTGCAGGTTCCAGTCGTGTTAAACTAGAAAGCAGTTACCACCAAAGGATAAGTCGTTTGTTTACAAGATATCTTAGGAGTCTGTTGGTGAAATCATACTGCTGACGAGTAGGGATGTAACTGCATTAAGACGTTTCTCTCATATGATCAGCAAGCTAGTTATGATGTCTGTCAAGGAACTTAGCCCTAAGTTCCTATCGTAATGAAGACTTAAGCGATTGAGCCGATAAATACTATGCACTTTCTTCAACTTTAAATCGAAAACACCAGTATTCCTTGAAGGAAATTATATTGTTTGGCGATTAAATTGAAGAAAACTACAAAGTCTACAAACAAATGTTAAGTACAAATGAAGTTATAAAGTACTTTTATTCGTATTTAACTCCAGTCTTCTTTCAACTTGCAAGCGATCGACCATTCGCGCCTTTCAGTTGCCCATTAATGGCTGCCAGACCCAGTAAAACAAACGTTCAATGTTCACGTCCATTGACAATGTCTCTATGCTCTGGAAACGAGGCGGGGTTAGAAACGATCGACGTCGAAAATTAGACATCCTGACCTACGTTTCGGCGGTTCGTAACTGGTGGTGCGTACAGTTATTATAATGTAATCTATTTGGATTAGTTAAGCATCGTTTTGACTGCTGGTTGATTAAACATATGTGGAAAACTAAGGGTGGATTATTAAAGGATAAGATGTGTGACTCACTGGCTTACAAGTACTGAGGCTTCCAGTCGATGCATTTCCGCCTCTAGTCCTATTCCACCTTGTTCATTCCCGACCAAATGGGTGAGTAGGTACAGCAGTTTAGTATATGCGAGATCTTTTCCAAGTAACTGAGTTCAAACAAGCCATAATATATAACAGGTAATAGATGAAATCGTGTGCTTCAGTGACTTAGTGGTAGAATGCTTTCCAGGAACAAACGTGGCCCAGTGTTCGATTCCCTGCTGAAGTACTCCTAAACCTTTCCCAGTTTATTAACATGTAGTAAGCCAGGAAAAGAAAGGCAGACAGGGTGTGACGCTAGCAACTCCACCCGTTAACATCAAAATAACACCTGTGCCACTGAAACTTCAAGTTATGAAGCTTGAAGACCCCGATGTTCTACTCGAGACGTAAGGGAACAAGAGAAAAACTGAATAAAGTTATGATTTATTTCTCCCCTTTTTCTTTGTTACTTCCTAATTATAAAATTATTAACAGGATAAAAAGTGACGTTTTTTAAGGAATAATTTATTAATGATTTCCTCAGAAATCCCCCCCCCCATTTTTCATCCCTTCGTATATTCGCTTCTATTTCTGTTCTTTTATCTTAGGTATATGCTTTGTTATACTCAACTATGGAGATACACAGTTCACCTGTATACCTTTTACCATCTGCTTATATTTCCAACACAGAATATACATCAATAATCGATCGTTTAATGAAATCATTCTCTTGGTTGAATAACCCAAATATTGTTCAATGTCCATTGATAAGACTATTGTATCTGAAAACACTTAGTCCTTACTATAATCATCATCATCAATTTACTCCAGTCGAATCGAATTCATCCTTAAACAGTTTAGAATATGAGTATACTGAAGGAAATGTAAACGCTTTGATTGATTATGCAATATACCAAGGGAAGAATAACATTCAAGTTCATAAAGAAGTTGAACAGTTACTAAAGTCATTGAATGATCTCCGCGTAAGTTATACTTTTGACTGTGTTAATGTATTAAATTGTGTGATGAATACACATTGACGTCTATGAATTGATGTTAAGTGATTGGAGTCAATCGTTAAGGAGGTCTATGTGGACCTAGATTTGCTGAGGCTCATGTCCCATCTGAGTTCCGAACCTGCGCCCCTGACTGCTACTGTCAGAGACACTGTCATCAAATTATTCAGCTTCGTGGTTCACCTTCTGTATAATTGTAAAGGATACTTTGATTGGACACTGGATAGTAACCGTGTCATGCTTCTAGTCCGTGGTGTGTTGGTGTAGACTGAATTCTATGAGTCAAGGTTTGCTCTGTTGTCACAAAGCTAGTTGCCTCGCTATTGAAATACACTCTGAATGCTTACTAAATGGTTGTAGGCAATCGTTTCAACTACAGGTGGGACGGATGAAGATGTCAGAAAGGCAAGATACGCCTTTGTCAACCTGAAACCAGTTTGGAAATCATCTGCATTCAGTATAAAGGGCAGGATTCGAATTTTCAACACAAATGTCAAGTTAGTCAGTCACTGCTTCTATAAGGGTCAGAAACTTGAAGTGCACTCGGAAAGTCACGGAAAGGATTTCCAATAGGTCACGACAGACTTTTATCAGCAACTGCCTCCGCTCCATACTGAAGATCAAATGGCTGACTGGCCAGAAAGAATTGGCATCAAGAAACTCTGGCTAGTGATGAACCAACCAAGAGCCGATTGTTCAACAGATATGTAGGAGAAATTGGAAATGGATCGGGCGTACGTTGAGGAGGCCGTTGCTCTATTGGAATCCGAATGGGAAGTGACGAGTGGGTTTTTGGTGTGAGAGTAACATGGAGGGGATCATGTGGCGATGAGGAGATGAGAGACTATGGGCAATTGTGGAGCTGGCCAGGTGAAGAGGACAGACAGCAGAAAATAGAAGTGGAGATGCGTTGTTGAAGCCCTATGTTCCACTTGGAATCCAAGGGACTAATAATAATAATGACAATAGTTATAATAAGGCAATCGGTAGGAATTTCTCCTTTTAACGTCTTGATTTTAGTGTTTGTGGTTGTGGAGTGGAGGTGTAAGTGTGACTGATGATTTCCTCTTTAGTTCGAGCAGTCAAATATGAAGTTTTAGCCCTGTTGATTGGAGTAGGCATTCGGCTTTTGACTAATGATTCACAGGTTCGTACTCCTCGCATTATCTACCGAGGTTTTAGGCAGCTTTACAGTTAACAGCATTTTAGCAGTCACATACATGCATATAGGTGATGCTTATTGACAATGGCTTCTTCGTTGAATGACGCCTTGTATTCCGATAATTAAGTGCTTTGAAATGTAATGTAAGGCACACTGACTGACTAGTTGGTGATATCCAGCTATTGATCAAATGAGTGTTTACTCCGCATCAGTTCTCTATGTCCTCCTTCAAGGCTGTGAAACATGGCCTACTGAAACTGAGAGACATAAAAGCACTAGCTATCTTTACTTACAAGCGTTTACGTTTTATCTCCGCGTTTTAATTAGTATTATAGGGTGAGGAATATTCAGCTTAGGCTTAGTGATGGTTAAAAAGGGAAACTCAACCAATGGAGTTGTGAGGGCACATTGATTGAGATGGTTGGGACATGTATTGTGCATGCCGAGACGTCGTCTTCCTCACCCGGCAATGTTAACTGACTTTGGGTCAGATTGGAAAAGACTTAGTGGTGGTCAAATCGAAGTCTGGTAGACTGACAGGAAGCGGTCAAAATTGAAATCGACCTTTTGAGTCAATAGCCACAGAGGTAGAAGTGTTCATTCCTCAAATTTGAACTGAGTTTACGTTGTGGTTTTGAAATAATCTCACTGGATAACTTTTTTTCTCATTGTTTGACCTTGGGCCAACCGCTAACCAATCGGAACAATTTATTATCTGGTGACCTAAGCGACTTTTAATGTGACTAAGAATGTGTAATTATGATGGCTTGTTTTCTTGATAAATATATCCGTTCCCAGTTCTCTTATCTTCTGCTGTTACAGCATCAGTGTGACTATTGGCTCGAGCCAGCCACATAGGGAGGCGTAGACTATCTCTCATTAGAGTCCTCGATATTCTAAGAACCAATGGTTTGAAGCATTCAGTGATTTGGTTCAAAGTCGTTCTCAGTAGTGTCGATGTGTTCACTCTTTGTAATCTACATTCATTAAACGCTTATTTAACATGAATGCAGTCGATTCCAGTCACAGCAGTAGGAAGGATATGGTGGTCCGTAGATGTAATATGGGAACTTTTCAGCAGACATCCAGTGGCAATTAGTACCTCCTGATGACTTTATATTTATGTATATATATATATATATATATGTATTCACACTGAAATTTACCTCTCCTTTCTTTTTCTCTGCTAATGTCTTCAATCTGTTTAGCTGCTTACCTCAGCCTTACGTCGAATTTGTTTATACTTATGCTCAAAAGTTGGTGACCCTACTGATTGTAGTATGAATTTGGAAAGCATTAATGCGATGGCTCAATGTGGACCACAGCCTAATACAGAAGTATTGAAGATAACTGAAAATCTCTTCACTATCCAAACATTGTTAGGCATTTATTACCATCAAAGTGTTTGTAATGCTAATACTAGTAATAATAATAACAATAATGATAACCATGTACTCACAGAATTGAAATCCATGTACAAAGCCGAATTCAAACGTTACTTCTACGCACTACTGACAATACTTATTCATTCGACCAATACTACTACTACTACTACTGCTTCATTGTTTGACTGTATTCACAAATTATTAGATTCAGATTATCAACGTTTACTGTCGACTGCAGTCCCAAATTCACTGATCACTCGAGGAGGTCCTGAAGTCAGTTTCACAGCTATACAACTTTATTCCTATGTCAACTTAATACATATCACTGATGATAAAAAGAGAAAGAATGATAATGGTGTGATACAAAACTCGTCTTTGCGGGATCATCTCCGTAATGATCCGTTTAGTCTATTGTGTAGATTGTGCAATTCACGTTTTAGTCATAGCGCTCGTGAAAAACTCAATCCAACTGGAGCAGAAGAAGAAGACGAAGAAGAATTGAATTATGCAGCCTTATATTCACTACGTTTATTGGATATGCAAAGATTGGTTGCATTCACCTCACAGAAGAGTGGAAATACTGATGAAAGTGAGATATAAACGTCTAAAAGTTATTTTTTTATTCATCATTTTTTTCCTTATGTTGTTGATAGTTGACATGAATTCTCATGTTATACTTTTGCTTTGCAAGTTAATCGACGTGAAATTATGCTTTTCGTAGACTTTATGCTTATTAATGACCATCTCCACAATCGATTGCTTCATTTCCTCCAACATTCATAATCAATCACAGCTGCATATACTTCATTATTAGTAGCACAGACTAAGCAGAACTCGGGAGGAACAAACGAGGGAAAATCAAGCAGGCTTTAGGCCAGGTAGAGGGTGCATAGGTCATATCTTCACTCTCTGACAGATCCTAGAACATAGACACACTTTTAGGCGTCCAACAATTGCCATATTTCTTGACTTGAAGGCGGCCTTCGACTCCGTGGATCTAAAGGTACTATGGCAATGTTTGACTGTGAAGGGAGTGCCAAGAAAGTACATTACACTAATCAAGGCACTCTACTCAAACTCACGTAGCCAGGTAAGGGCTTATAGGGAATTGTCATCTGAATTGATAACAACCAGTGGTGTCCGACAGGGATGTCCACTTTCCCCATTCCTGTTTAACTTCATCATAGTTATGCTAATGGAAGTATCCTTAACTGAACTTAACGACTTAGGAATCGACTTGTTACCAGAGAATAATCTTATGGACTTAGAATATGCGGATGACATAGTCCTGTCAGGGGAGGATGCTGACAAAATGCAGAGTCTTCTGAACACCTTGAGCAGCAATCTTCGTATGTTTGGCATGCGATTCGCCCCTGTAAAATGTAAGATGCTGCTACAGGACTCGACTACGTCAACTCCTAGCTTAGTGATAGGGAGTGAAGTGATAGAGCATGTTGATCACTTCACCTATTTGGGAAGTTGTATCAGCACCAACGGATTGATTGGAAACGAAATCTCAGCACGGATCCAAAAAGCTCGGGTTGATTTCGCTAACTTACACCATCTCTGACGTAGGCGTGACATCCGACTATCAACCAAGGGACGTGTGTACTGCTCATCACTTCGCTCCGTCCTTCTCTATGGCTCTGAAACATGGCCAATACGAGTTGAAGAAATGAAAAGGTTGACTGTTTTTGATCATAGATGTCTACGATCTCTTTCTCACGTTAGGTGGCATAATAAGGTAAGTAATATTGAAGTTAGGCGTAGTGTTGAGGAAAGAGGGAAAATCAGTCGACGAGGCTATAAAGTTACATAGATTGAGATGGTTAGGTCACATGCTGCGGATGCCTAACCATCGCCTCCCCCGACGGACGGGCATTACTAGCTCATTTAGGTGCAGGTTGGAAAAGAGTAAGTGGTGGCCAAACAAAAACATGGCTTCATCAATCCATGAAATCCCTGACAGTTAAACTGAGTCAGGTAGGGAGGGAGATGCAGACTTCCGGGTTGGGGCTTGCCTTCGGGACTGTAAGAATCAATGGCCGGAGACAGTAGGTGACATGGCTCAAAATCGTTGTCAATGGTTTACGCAGATGTATTCAGTCTCTGTAATCTTTCATATTCCTTTCTACCATTACTCATTCTGTTTCACTCTTATACTTGTCAAAACTCTATTGATTCTCTTCACTCATTTTCTTGTCTACCTTTGTGTGCTATTTGGAACGTGGTAAATCGAACTGCTGCACTTCGGTGCCGAGTTCTATGTTGAATCCAGACAGATAGATTAGTAGTAGTAGTAGTAGTAGTATTTATTTGGGTTCCAAATGAAACATAGGGTTCCAACAGCACGTCTTTATTTCATCCTGTTTTCTGCATTCCATTTTACCTCGCGCCTGAGCATCTTTTAATCTCCTCGGGATAACGAGAATTTTTATCTTACTTGGCATAGACGGGAGCATGATTCCGTACCAGACTCAAGTCACCCTTCTTTCGACTTCTCCCCCTAATCACTAAGTACCTTTGCTTCTTTCTTTCAAAATTTCTGCAATGGTGGCGTAAGCGTGTCCCCTGAAGTTTGTGGATCAGCTTTCAGTACTGACGGAGAAATTTCGTCTGGTCTTACTCTCTGGCAATCAAAACTTCTGCTTTTGTCGAAGCATTGGTGACTACTGGCAGTTCTGTGCCTGCTATTGGTGGTATCTCTGGGCGAATTGTAGATGTTAGTCGGCTTAAGAGTCTTTTGAAGTGACCAATCCATTGTTACCTTTACTTCTCCCCCTAGGTAATTACCTCCCCTTCACAATCTTTCATTAGCTTCATCTGTGTTGATATCTCCTCCTATTAGCACCTGGCTGCCTGGCAAAGTGTTCTGAAATTCTCCTTACCTGAGACCTGTTCCTCTGCTGAAATTGTCAGTGTTTTGTTGAGTTGTCTTCTTTCCCTTTCCTTCAACTCTTCACTTCCCTCAACACTTAGCTCTAATATTATGCCCCATTAGAAATCGTTCAAACTCTAGACTAACTAATTCATATAAGATGAAAAATAAACTAAATGACATTCAACTAGAGAATGATGAAACAATGGTTAGTTTTGATATAACCAGTCTTTATACCTATATACCAGTTAATGTGGCTTTATAGACAAACAGTTAATTAAACTCTGTGACTTATCAAAATAAAATCTTATCCATAATGGAGTTACACTCTACCACAGTGCCCAATTTTTATACTTCACGTCTTTGTTTAGTGTACTATAGAATGAACTAATCTTCATCTTTCGTTTTCCATCTTTACACTGATTCATCTTCTTTCTGTCTCTTCTGACAAAAAGTATTTGCACACCATATCTCAAGGGGTCGTCAGGTGTGAGTAATTATATGGTTATAATAAGTGTAATAATTTAAATTTCATTAAGTTGCACTGGTAGTTTATAGATTGTACAGCGAATTTACACACACACGCATAATTGGGATACTGCAATGAGTCACTGAACCATATCACTACATGCTTTGACTTAATTATTCCAATAGATATAAAGTGAACATTCCAGTATGAAGTAGTGAATACGAATGGGTCATGGGTTCGAACCCCGCTTTCTACACACCGAGGTCTGGGCAGCCAGATTGTCGTTGCACTAGCCCTCCCACACAGAAAGCTGTTGCTTATTGCCAGCATTTCCGTCACCTCCTTTCACACTATTAATATTGTAGCCATTCTATAACAAGCATACAGGAAACAGTTGAGATATGTCTCGGAAGGCTTTGTGCACTTATGAAGTATTTAGACGGTTGTTACTTCCCAGCAGCTCACACCTTGGAATTTCATTTCACATTTGGGTGCGTAGAAAAAAAGAGCAGTAGTGTTGCTTGACTATAGAGCCCAGGCGGCAACTACTTGACGCCAGCCACACATGGTCTGTTTGAAGTGGTATTTGGAGTTGTTTCCGTAGTAAGGTGATTGTACCTCCAGCTACTGACAGCTTCAGGGTAAATTGGAATTGAAATTTTCTAATCCACCACCTCGGTGCGTCGGTGGCATGGCGGTTAGGACGCTCGCCGACCATGCATATGGTCCGGGGCTCGATCCCCGGCCGACGCACTCCTTTACCTTGCTAAACCAGAAATAACGGTAGTGAAGAGGAAAGGTTGGTCATGAGGCTAGCAACCCCATCCTGTAAAATAAACACTGCTACAGAAACTTCAAGCCGCTAGCTTGAAGCCCTATGTTCCACTGGGGAACGTGAAGGAAAAAAATATCCACCACCTCTCCAGAGCGGAAAGACAGTATAGTTGGCTACTTACTGGTCATCTGAGGTAAACACATTATTGCTGTTATATACCTATTCGCCAGCTGCACAACTTCTTTCACATACCTCCAAAATAGTACTAATCGCTTACACTATAATGGTAACTACGTGTAGTCTAGCCGCTATTTTAAATGACTTTTCTAGCATGGTGGTGGAACTTGCAGTAACATTCGTTCCAGCCAGTGTAGCTCGCTGGGTTATTGTGATATTCAAGCTTAACGACCACATCAAGGTAGGTAGCAGCTGCCAGTCGGTTATATGGAATAATCGCATTATCTGTACATTCTGTATCTTTGCGTATTTTATTATAGCTTTGTGTGTTTTACTTTTTTATAGGAGAAGCTCTAATTGCTGAAGTATTTATTACACTGATCAAAAATTTGGTTAAACCGGCCAGTAGGAAGTTGGAAAAATTGGCCTGTGAAATCACACAGAATTTACTAGTTTCTTCAAATACACAATCCAAATGTGAGTTAGTTTATTTTGTGTGTGTGTGTATTTTGTACATTTCATGATGATGATATCTACGATGTGATCAGACACCATTTTACAGTTTCAGAGTTATTCTGTATATTGATGCCCCGGTTGTCGTGCTCTGCGTTTTTCCGCACATTGAGTAATAGGTGAAAGTTACACAGAGGCACAAAGAAATGAAGATAATGGAATTTGGGACTTTTACCTATTAAAGATAAAATACATAGACAGAGTCACTTCAACTGCAAGCGGTGGCATGAATGAGGATGTTAAAGCCAGCCAGTATCAGAAAAGCTTGACAGGCCTTCATTACTCTGAAATCAGTGTGGAAATCTATTACAGTAAGCATAAGGAACAAGATTCGGATTTTCAGCACTAACTTCAAGTTGGCCAGCGATTCTTTTTTTATAGTTCACAGACCTTATGCGCGTGTCACCAAACGGAGTCTCAACATGTGCCCCTTCGCTCCATAGTGAAGATCAGATGGCCAGAAAAGATGAATAACAAGGAACTCTGCCAGCAAACCAAAAAATATACAAAACAAAATGGAGATGGATTGGTTATACAATGACGAGACAGTTGAGTGAAATCATGCCCCACACACTCGATTGGAAACTTGAGTAGGAAACGAAGTGTTGGGTATGGGTTGAAGATTGGCATGGAGGCGATCGTGTGTGGAGGATACGAAAGCTTATTGATGCCGTCAGAGGGTAAGAGAACAGGACAGAATGGCAATGTGTTGAAGGCCTATGAAGTCCCTCCACTGGAGGAACCCAAGGACTATCTTTTGGTAAAGTAGAAACAATA